GGATCGCAGTGCGTACTTGCCCGCATCCTCCTTCCACTGATTTTGAGCAAATATGGCTCCCTTTCACGATAAACACACAGAAAATTACGATTGGCACAGCTTATCGTCCGCCTTGGCTCGATGTAAATATTTTTCTAGATGCCCTCACTTCATCTATTGTTTCATTCACAAGAGCTGATAAAATGATTCTTGTAGGTGATTTCAATATAAATTTGCTAAAAAAAGATAACCCCAAAACTAAACTTCTTCTTAGTTTTCTCAATTATACTCGTCTATCTCAAGTTATATCTGAGCCTACACATTATACAGATCACAGTGAAACACTCATTTATTTGTTATGCTCTGACATTAGTGTTTCTAACACAAAAGTTTCATATATACCACAATTAGGGCAACACCCAGTGATATCCGTTCAATTTCTAATAGAAAAAGATAAGTTTATTACACGTAAGGCTTACTTTCGTCCACTTAAGCAGATTTTGGTAGACTATTTTAATGCAGATTTAAAAGGTATTGATTGGGATAGTACTTTATGTCTCAACAATGTTAATGATATGGTAGCAAAGTTTAATTCATATATAATAACGCTTTTTGACCTTCATGCCCCAAATAAATTAGTGCGATTAAAGAAAACAAACTCACCCATGGATTACTGATACAGTTAAAATCATAATGAGGCATCGACACCACTATTTCATGCGGTATGAGAAAACTAAACTAGATAAATATTATAATTCCTATAAAGATCTAAAAAACCTTGTGACTAATGCTATTCATTTTGAAAAGAGAGTATATTTTGAAACGTATATTAATAATAACTTAAATAACCCTAAAGCTCCATGGAAAAGTATAAAAGGTAATATTATTACTAAGGAACAGGCTGAGATAAATTTGCCAGATCATTGTAATGATCCTGATATAATAAATAAAATTTTTTTGAATATTCCTGGTGATGATAATATATTCCTTTCAAAACTTACTTTCTATGAGTTTAACAAATATGGGCCAGGTATTTTCCATTTAAATATATCAAATGAGGACCAAATAGCTAAAATAGTTCAAAGTTTGAAATCTAACGCCCAAGGTGTGGATCAGATAACACTTGATATGTTACTTATGACACTGCCACATACATTGAAAGTTATCACAGCTATTGTGAATAAATCTATTACCACCTCTACCTTCCCTGATCAATGGAAAATAGCTGTGGTAAAGCCTATCCCTAAGAAAAAACAGGCAACCTGATTAAAAGATCTACGCCCTATAAGCATCTTGCCTTGTTTATCTAAGGTATTAGAAAAAGTGGTCTGCGTTCAGTTAACCGAATACTTCGAGGTACACAAAATCTTACCTTTAGCACAACAGCGATTATTGATGTTGTTGATAATATACTAACAGCTACATAACAGCTGCATAAGGGAATGGGGACAATACTTACTCTTTTAGATTTCTCACGAGCTTTTGACTCCAGAAATTGTACTCTTCTTCTAAGTTATTTTTCTATGGATTTGATGCTTGCACAGTTCAATGGTTTCATAGTTACTTAACAGATATATTGCAATATGTTAGTATAACAAAACAGGATGGCACAATACTTATGTCTGAACATACTTAGTTTCTCGCGGTGTCCCACAGGGATCTATCCTGGGTCCTATTTTATTTATTTTATATAGTTCAGACGTCACTAGCTGTATCAAAAATTGTGACTATCACTTATATGTAGATGATTTGCAAATATATAAATCTTTTTCCCTCAAGATTGTGAAACTGCTGTCAAATTATAGAATGAAGATCTCAAACGTATCTCGTTATGGTCCAAGCAAAATTCTCTAGTGCTAAATCCACAAAAATTAAAAATTTTAATTCTAGGAACAAATAAAAATATTAAAAATATATTAATGCTTCAGCCCTTAGTTATAATTGATAATGAACCTATACAGCAAGTCTTTGAGGCAAGAAATTTAGGTGTATTATATGATTCTAGTTTGCGATTTGAAAGTCATGTACTTGAGGGAGTGCGCAGTTGCTTTTACCGTTTGAAGTTTTTGTATAAAGTTCGGCAATACCTCAGTGAAGATATGCAGATAAGATTGTGTGAGTCATTAATACTGTCTAAGTTAAATTATGCAGATGCAGCCTATGGACCACGACTGTTGAGAAGGTCAGAGAAGCTTATACAGCGGGTGCAAAATGCGTGTACTCGGTTTTGGTACACTGTCCCGCCTCGAAGTCATGTAACGCCTTATTTGAACAATGCTAATCTGTTAAAAATGAGTGCCCGGAGAAAATTACGCCTTGCTACTATACTATTCTCAACAATAACAAAACAGCGACCAGTATACCTGTTTCAAAAGCTGAAGTGGGCCCGAACTCAAAATAAATATAATACAAGAGCTTCTGTTCATTCCCTTGTAACAACTCGATACCGCACAGCTGCGTTTCGAGATAGTTTCAAATTTGCAGCAACCCACTGTTGGAATGATCTATCACCACCTATTCGTTCCCTAAAATCACTGAATAGTTTTAAAAACAAACTAAAGTTCTATTACTTAGCACAACAAGATCTGAATACGTAATACAATTACGTTTAGAACGCAAAATAGTAATAATATTCATACTGTTTTACACCATGTTGAAATATTATTGAATATTGTTTATTTCTGTTACATATGTGATGAATGATCATTATTATTAGATATTATTTATTTATTTTTGATCTTACTTTTTATTTTCTAAAAAAAAGATCTAGGAGGTCTCGTAACATGGCGTGTCCCTTTGAGTACAGAATATAAATTATATATGTACTAAAATCATAAATTTTATTGCTACTTTGCTTTGTCTTCCCCATAGAACCATATATGTTATATTATGTAAGTATAGGTATAGTGTATGTACTACACACCATTAATATTGATATTAATACAGTATGTCTGTGTTAACTGTATTCGTTAGCACTACACTTTAACCCACTGCCTAATTACTATTAATCTATAAGTTGTAGTTACGCGTAATTCGAGGTTCACACACTGACTCGTCAGTGAAGTCACAAGGTTGCAACTGAAATCCAGCGCTGCCTCTGCAGCATTATGCTGAGTTGGAGACCTATTTGATGTCACATTTTATCTTTAAATTCTTTTTTTTATCTTTTTTTATTAATTAACATCATACATGTTCTGCTTATTAAATAATTTTAATGTGTAAGCAGTCTTACACCTGCGCATGCATATTCTTTGCCCATTGTAATTTATATTTAAATTTCAAAAATTGTGTGTAAAGTGTGATTATCATATAAATGGTTCTTTCTTTCTTTCTTTCTATGAGGTGACAACTGTGAAAAAAATAAGTACTCATTAGTTTAGATTCTAAGCCGTCGAATTAAGATTATAGGGTAAATAAATAATATCTCAATCTGGTTCTTCTCGTAAATATTGTAGGTAAGTACGTAATAGTCTATAAATATTTACATAATGAAGATAATACATGTCGCCTGATGCGTTGTCTAACAGCGATACCACAGTTAGCACATGCTTGTAAAAGGTCCATTTTCCTTATTAAGCTTACGTATGACACCGTTTATAATTAGTGGATCACTCGCGTGGAGCTACGACACTTATTAAATAAAAGTTAAATACAATAACACACAAATACGAAGGAAAAGCAAACAGATACCCAGAAACGGTAAACGTGAATCAAGTTTCACATTGACAATTTAACTGTTTTGATACTTGACGGACGGAATGTAACGCTACATGTTTAAGCTGTTGCTGTGTTAAAAAAATAAATAAAATGCTATCCGTTAGTGTATTTTGATTATTTTGATGTAATTCGTTAATTGAAGGCTTGGTTTTATAATAATAATAAGGAGGATCCTGGAGGTCGCCAGGGCGCGTCTGGAGCTGGCGCTGGACGTGACAGCATGCGAACCGCCAGCCGAGCGCAAGGTGCTGCACGACCACTCAGCAGCCCTTCGCATCCATCATCCCCACCAGCTGGCATGGTGTCGGCAGGGTCTTCGCGAGCCCAGCAATCGGCACCCACCACTGGTGGAGTACGCCGCATGCGTTGGACAACCCAGATGAACAGCAACGCATTGCGGGCGTATTTTAGAGCAAAAGGGGGAGAAACTGGAGGTTTTGCGTATCGGGCAAGGATGCATCGACTTTTTCCTGAGCTGGAGACATCTGTAACCGTCATCGAGCAAAACCTGGCAGACCGAGTTCGGTATATCTTGCGCTCAAATACATTTGATGTCACCGAACTCTAACGGCTACGACGTGAGGCTGTTCCTTCATCGGGTGAAAATGCTGCGGCTGAGGATGCGGTGATACAACTTGCTGAGCAAACGGCAAATGTGAATGCCGCCATAAATACGCCAGTTGTGGTTGATTCAAACGATGATGGAACAGTCGCCCAGGAACTGGAACTAGAGCAAATGTGGAGTACATTGGAAGAGGCGATTGTGGAAACGCGCAGTACGCCTCTCGAAAATCGACCGCGACTTCCCCCGCTTAGCCCTAAGCAAGCGGAATTGGGCTGTCGTGAGGGTTCTGAACCCAATGCTGGTTACCTATTTGGGAGCCAGCCGGCACCTTTGCGAGACGGGCTCAATTCTTTTCAGCGCCGCACTGGCAGTCTGCCGTATGATAGGCGCCAAACTTTCCACGGCTGGACGCGCTACTGGACAAAGTAGTGCTATCCCAACCTGGAGAATACGAATTGAAGAACGTATCGCAAAGGATAGGACCCTCATCGGCAGACTGATATGCTTCAGGTCAGGCAATACCAGGCCAAGGATTGTGCGCACCGTCAGGATGGCGTTTGCTGGGACAAATGTTAGTTTGTCCCAGCCGGATATAATGCAAAAACTGACGAAGCGCATAGACGACCTGAAGCAAAGAATCGATGCTTGGGGAAAGCGGATTCGGCGATATACCGAGAGCTCGACACGGTTCAACCAGAATCGTCTCTTCCAGAATGATCAGAAGAGGCTCTATAAATGATTGGACCGACAAATAGTAAGTGGAACGGGCCCAGCACCAAATCAGGCCGACACGGTCGCATTCTGGCGCAGCCTGTGGTCAGGGCCCGTAAACCACAACGAGGGCCCTTGGACGGAAGTTGTGGCGAGTCAGTGTGCGGGTATTACGCCCATGGACCCCGTCATCATAACGCCGGATGACGTAGCTGAGGCGGTCCGTGAGGACCCGAACTGGAAAAGTCCGGGGCTTGACGGGCTGCATCACTACTGGCTGAAGGGGTTCATGGTGTGTCACGCTGTGCTCGCCCGACAGTTTCAAGAGGCTCTCAAACAGAAGTAGCTCCCAAGCCTCTTCACTACTGGGATCACTCATTTGGTTCCTAAAGCTCAGGGTGCCACAGACCCGAGCAAATACCGCCCCATCACGTGTCTACCGACTATATACAAGACACTAACATCCATTTTGAGCGCGAGAATCGCTCTTCACCTGGACTCAAATCAGGTGAACAGTCTGTTTGCGACGTGACAGACTTTTATGCAGCTTGACCATGGTGCTTAACCGCCTATTGTCCGGTGTGAATAAGGCATACGCATATAACGGCTGGATCATGCCTGTCCTCATGTATACCTTTGGCATACTCAGGTAGACTCAGACTGAACTTAACGCCCTGGATAGAAAAGTTCGCACTAACATGACGTTCCTGTAATATAGGAAAGGTGTCAATGAAGGAGACGTGTGTTTGGTACTAAAACTTTAATTAGACTGCCTTATTATTCTACCTTAACACTAAAGTGTATTAACGTGGTAACTATACCTCCCACCGACTAAGAATAAAAAATATGCTATCTATATTTTTTTATCAATTCTTAGAATAGGTCCTTGAGATTATTCTAAAAAAGGTTAATATCATTATGAAAACTATAATATAAGACATGTCTAGCACGCAAAAATTCATGGTCACAGTAGTATAATTGACATAATCAGGCATAATTATGTATAACATAAAATTATGTTTTGATTTTCACGAAAATTTACAATATTATTCATTCGTATCCTTAATCATTATGTTATTATGCTTACCATTTATCTAGTCAGGACAATGATGATATATATATATAAATTACGTGTAACGTAGTTTGTCCGCGATGGGCTCCTAAACTACTCAACCGATTTTAATAAAATACGCACACTGTGCGCAGTTTGGTCCAGCTTGAGAGATGGGATAGTTTTTTTGACCATGAGTAACTTACATATTTTTTTCAAATTTAAGGATTTTAATAGGCTATGACAAAGGGTCGTTGAAAAGAGCAGAACAACGTTTGCCTGGCTAGTAGCTAGTACTTTAGCTATTCATTACACATGTGTGTCATTTCTTTCACGTACACGGCTCGCGTATATTCATGATCAAGAAAATTACCAATATCATTTAATTCACTTCTTACATTTCAGCTCATGTAATTCATAAGCAATAACTTCACGTACACGGCTCGCGTACCTACATGATCAAGATAGTAGACAATATTCCTATACAATTCATAATAAATTATCATTACCCTGATTAAAATACATTAAAACTTTGATTAAAACTACTTTTACGGATTTTATCGCGTTTATTTTACTATTATTTTTAATTCCCGACGTTTCGGGCGCTTTCCAGCACCTATGGTCACGGGGGACTGAGATGACTGACGTCTCGATGTCATTGTTAAACCCGGAGTACCTTCAGCTTTTTTAATTATTGTTTACGGTCCGATCTATGCAAAATAAACTGACTATGTCCTGAGGTCTTGCAGTGGTATGCTTGGGTTTAGTTTTAATTTTATTGATTATAGGATCCCAAGCAGGTGGTAGTACCCAGCCTCCTTCTCTATTGAAATTAGGATGTTTTTTTTTAATTTCAATAGCCTCACGTATCATCCTTGGTAGGAATCGGTGTTCTTTAGCGAGGATTTGTGGTCTATCAAATCTGATGTAACGGTTGGGGCCGTCTAGGATATGATCGCAAACTGCAGACTTCCCGGAACGTTGACGCTTCCTGGTAAATGTTCTTTTACGCGGGTTCTAATTGATCTTTTTGTTTGTCCAATATAAGAGAGACCACATTCACAATCAAGCTTGTACACTCCTGAATCTTGTAGAAGAATATGACACTTGACTGATGGTAGGAACTGACCAATCTTCTTCGGCGGCTTGTAGAATGTTCTAACAGAAGCTCGCTTCAAGATGTATATGTATCATCTCATCTAGATGTGTAAGTCACTCGAAATCCTAACAAAACCATTGGTCACACTGTGTATAGGAAAAAGACCCATACAAACCGATATTTAAACGGTGAATCTCACCACCATCCTTAACAGTTAGCTACCGTGGACAAATCTTTGTTACAGAGAGTACGAGGGATCTGTAACAGCAAACACCTGGCCGCCGAGCTTCAGCACGTCAAGCAAGTTTTGCACGACAACAAGCTTCGGGTCCTTGCCTACGTCACAGTGACCGAGTGAAGCCGGCCACAGTCGAGCGTGTTCCTGCTGTACTACCATATGTCAGAGGTGTCACAGACAAGATTGGCTACATCCTGAAGCGAGCTTCTATTAGAACATTCTACAAGCCGCCGAAGAAAATTAGTCAGTTCCTACCATCAGTCAAGTGTCATCCTCTACAAGATGCAGGAGTGTACAAGCTTGATTGTGAATGTGGTCTCTCTTATATAGTACAAACAAAAAGATCAATTCTTCTTCTTCTTTAAGTGCCTCTCCATTACTAAAGGTCAGCAGTCATCCTTCTAAATTCTTCTTTGTTCATGGCTAGCCTGAACAGATCTTCAACTTTCTTTATCCCAGTCCATTTCCGGACGTTACATAGCCACGACATTTTCCTTCTACCAACACCTCTTTTACCCGCTACTTTGCCCATCACAATAGTCTGCAGCAGTTGGTAACGTTCATGCCTGAGCACGTGTCCTAAGTACGCAACTTTTCTCTGTTTGATGGTTTTGACAAGTAGGGGTTCATTCCTTTTCGGACCTCAATGTTGGTAACTTTGTCTGTCCAACTTATTCGGAGCATACGGCGATATATTCACATTTCAAATGCTTTTAGTTTCTTACGGAGATCTTCCTTCATAGTCCAAGATTCGCATCCGTATAGTATGACAGGCCAAATATAGCATTGCATAAGTCTTGTACGTAGTTCGATTGATAGTCTCCTTGTTGTAAGGACTTTGCTCATCCTCATGAAAGAGGCTCTTGCAGTTTCAATTCGAACTCGTATTTCCATGTCACTGTCCCAAGAATCAGTTACCCAAGATCCAAGATACAGGTACTTCTGAACTTGTTCGATACTAACTTGTCCTATACATACACTACACTGCTTTGGCGCTCTCGAAACTACCACGATTTTGGTCTTAGACACGTTTATATTTAGTCCTGATTTCGTGCTGCACTCGATTATGTGGTCTAGTATTTTTTGAAGACCTTGTTCTGAAGATGCAATAAGAACAGTATCGTCAGCGTATCTCAAGTTGTTAATCAGTTGGCCATTGACAAGGACTCCTTCTTCAACATCTTCTAGCGCTTCCTTTATAATATTCTCCGAGTACAGATTAAATAGCAGAGGCGACAAAATGCATCCCTGACGTACTCCTCTTTGAACAGCGATTGAGTCGGTAAAACCTTCCTTCACCCTTATGTTTGCGTTCTGTTGCCAATACAGATTTTAAAGATCAATTAGAACTCGCGTAAAAGAACATATAGCTGATGTGAAGCATCAACGTTCCGGGAAGTCTGCAGTTTGCGATCATATCCTAGACGGCCCCAACCATTATTGTATGTGTAACTATGCAAGTATGTAATGCAATACAATGCAAAATTAAATGCTGCTGAGGAGTACCACTCAAATACTGAGATTGTAGGATGCAAAATAAAACACTGTTTATCGTAACGCCGTGCTAATGGTACTGAATTTATTATAAGAACAATATGTATACAATGCATTGAAATGACGTCAAACACGAGCACGCGCTCCAATTACGCTAACATATAAAAATGTACGGGTTTACTCGTACATATTTCCAAGTCTTAAACAAAGAAATATAATAAAATCTAAAAAGCATACAAAACTAAGAAAAATATTATTCGTCTATTTTACACTCGAACTTAATAATCTTGTCAAACGTTGTGGATGTAGTCTTATCCGCAGTGCGCGAACCGCTGAGTATGCGACGCGCGGTCGGCGCTGGCGGCGGGCTGCCGGACGCGGGGGGCACGTCAGCTGGCCTCGCCGTGTTGATATAATGTAGTTTTCTTCTATAAAGGTAGATAGCCGCCGTTAGTATTCCTGCGGCTACTATGAAGTACATGATGTATATCATAACGTAGTGGTGTATGTCATCATTTGATATCCCTTCATCAGATTGACTCAGCAAATCTTGTATTTGCCCCTTGATTTTCCAAAATGTATTATTGTGATATTCAGCAACAAATGGCAGCTGGTTGGTAGACGTATTGATGACAGAGTTCAATATGGACTCTTCATCCGTACTCCCGATGTCAAAACTTCCTGTACATATTTCACTCTTATAGTCCTGCTGGCCTTGTATAGAAAACGTGTCCCCCTTAAGAATGCAATCTTGACCTATACTGATAAGACCGCTGCCGCGCAGACTCGTCGTCGCCAGCCCAGACGAGCATAATATGCGGATCTTGCATTCTTCGCAGCATGTGTACAGCCAGTTATCACGAGAGTGTAATTTAATCCATCTGTCGGGGCACTCCTTTGTTTCTCTACGACAATATGTTTGATTGCTGTCATCCGTGATTATTTTTACGTCACATATAGACTGACCCACTTTAAGTTCATATAATGGACTAGTAATGGGGCATAATAGGTTAACGTCATTGTATCTTATGCATGCATCTTATGCATGTTATAAATTATTCTCCGACAGCGACATAAAGGTATCTTTTCGTAAATTGAATGCTATGTAGTCGGTAGAAGGTGTGACGTAGACTGAGTTCAAATTTTTTCCTTGCGGTATAGGTATGACTCTACTAAGTTCATAATTGTCAGTACTCAGTAGTGGCACCTTCACTTCAATTATGACGTAATCTTCGGTTATTCTTGCCTTTACTTGTAGCATTTTGAATAACTCCTTAATATTTTGAACGTTGACCGGGACTAAAAACTCTCCCTGGACATGTCTTGATATGATGTTTAACTGTTCTTGCAGTTGTGCCGGAGAAAGCAAGTGAACGTCGAGCCTACCGTGATATATGTTCGTAACAGTATTAATCAGGGTGTCCTGTATTCTTCTTAAATTTGATAAAATGACGTCAATAGTAA